ATTCATATAACCAGTGATGGGTTGCGTCTCTCCCCTAATGAGTTTCCTGATGAAAATGAGCAATGATTCTCTTCATTAGATGTTTGGGGACAAGCATTATTCCTTGTTATGAAAGATCCAGCCTTTCTTAGTTCTTTAATATTCTCTTGGGGGCTGGCACTGTGGTGTAGTGGGTAAAGCCATTGCCTGCAGTGCCGGCATCCCATTATGGGCGCCGATTTGAGTCCTGGCTGCTCCACTTCTGATCCAGCTCTCTGCTATGGCCTGGGAAAGCAGTAGAAGATGACCCAAGTCCTTGGGCCCTACACCAGCATGGGAGACCAGGAAGAAGCACCTGGCTCCTGGCTTTGGATCGGTGCAGCACCGGCCATGGCGGCCATTTGGGGAGTGAATCAACGGAAAAAGGAAGACCTTTCTGTCTGTCTCTCTCACTGTCTATAACTCTACCTGTCAAATAAAAAAAAGGAAAAAGAAAAAAAAAGCATGCAGCAGGCCTCCTGGTGTTACTTAAATTTCATATCAGAACTCTAAGGCTTATTCCTTCCGTTTGTACAGAAAGAAATCAATGACTTCTATTATTATTTTTTTTTTTAAGATTTATTTATTTGAAAGGCAAAGTTACGGAGATACAGAGGCAGTCTTCTGTCTGCTGGTTCACTCCCCCACTGGTCACAACGGCTGGAGCTAGGCCAATCCAAAACCGGGAGCCAGAAGCTACTTCCGGATCTCCCACGCAGGTGCCGGGGGCCCAAGAATTTAGGCCATCTTCTGCTACTTTCCCAGGTCATCACAGAGAGCTGGATCAGAAGTGGAGCAGCTGGGACGTGAACCGGTGCCCATATGGCTACTTTACCTGCTATACCACAGTGCTGGCCCCCAATTGACTTTCTTATATCTGGGAAACCAAGGACTGGGGATGATAGAAGCTTTTCCATTATGGTTGGAATGCCCTGTGACATTCTGCAGTTCAACTGAATGGCTCATTATCATTTCCTTTGAGAGCTTCAGATAGGGGTTTGGTCATGAGTCTATAGTTGGGAATCCAGATACAACGGAAGATGTGTTGGCCATTCTCAAGAATCCCTGTAATTATCTTTTAGTGGTAGGTATGGCCACTCTATCCAGAGCCTCTTCCCAGTCTGGCAGTAGTTTGTTCTTTCGACAGCTCAAAACCTAGATATTTTACAGTTGGTTAAGAAATCTGTGCCCATATATTTAAAAAAAATTTTCCCCCTTTTTTAATGATTTATTTTTTTCGGGCCCATAGTTGTGATATAGCAGGTAAAGCCACCCACCTGTGACACTGGTATCCCATATAGGCACTAGTTCAAGCCCTAGATGCTCCACTTCTAATCCAGCTCCCTGCTAATGGCCTACGAAAGCAGCAGCAGATGACCCAAGTGCTTGGGCTCCTGCATCCACGTGGGAGATCTGAAAGAAGCTCCTAGCTCGTGGCTTTGTCCTGGCCCAGCTCTGGCTGTTGCAGCCATCTGGGGGAGTGAACCAGCGGCTAGAAGATCTCTGTCTTGTCTCTCTGTCTCTTTCACTTTGCCTTTCAAATAAATAAATCTTTTTTAACAAATTGTTTATTTGAAAGGTATAATGACTGGGAGGGAGAGACAGAGAGATCTCCCTTCCAGTGGTTCACTCTCCAAATGACCACAACAGCCACAAGTGGGCCAGATTGAAGCCAGGAGCTAGGAACTCCATCTGGTCTCCCACATAGGTTGGCAGGAGCTAAGTACTTGGATCATCTTCTGATGCCTTCCCAGGCACTTTAGCAGGGAGCTGGATTAGAAGTGAAGTGGGGAGCCGGCGCCGTGGCTCAATAGGCTAATCCTCCACCTTGCGGCGCCGGCACACCGGGTTCTAGTCCCGGTCGGGGCGCCGGATTCTGTCCCGGTTGCCCCTCTTCCAGGCCAGCTCTCTGCTATGGCCAGGGAGTGCAGTGGAGGATGGCCCAGGTGCTTGGGCCCTGCACCCCATGGGAGACCAGGAAAAGCACCTGGCTCCTGGCTCCTGCCATCGGATCAGCGCGGTGCGCCGGCTGCAGCGGCGGCCATTGGAGGGTGAACCAACGGCAAAGGAAGACCTTTCTCTCTCTGTCTCTCTCTCTCACTGTCCACTCTGCCTGTCAAAAAAAAAAAAAAAAAGTGAAGTGGGACTTGAACCAGCACTCCCATATATGTCTGGAATCTCAAGCACTGGTTTAACCAGCTGCACTGCAACACTAGCCCCCTGTGCCTTTCTTTTCAAAATTTATATACTTAGTGTGCCTAGAAATTTGGGGTCAGAATTGTGTTTTGATCTATCTACAGTTACTTTTTAAGGTTTATTTTATCTATTTCAGAGGCAGAGTTAGGGAGAGACAGAGAGGTTTTCCATCTATTGGTTCACTCCCCAAACAATGGAAATGGCTGGGGCTAGGCCAGGAGCCAGGAGCTTCTTTTGGGTCTCCCATGTGGGTACAGGAGCCCAAGCACTTGGCCATCCTCTGCTGCTTTCCCAAGTGCATTAGCAGGGAGCTTGATCAGAAGGGGAGCAGCTGAGAGTCAAACTAGTGCCTATCTGGGATGTGAGTGCTGCAGGGGCCAGCCTAATCCACTGTGCCACAGCGGCGGTCCTGATCTGCAGTTTCGTTAGTTTTACTAGCAATCAGAATGTCATTATATATTGGAGTTAAATGCCCTCATTAAGTTGGAATACCCTTAAATCCTTAACCAGAGCTTCTCTCAAAGATGGCATTCAAAGAATTTTTTAATTCTTGTGGGAGCATCATCCAACAACGTTATTTATTGCTTCATATTAGTTTCTGGATTATGCCACTCAAAAGCAAACAGTTTTTGGGACTCAAGACTCTCATGGGAATACAGTAATGGTATCTTTCAAATACGAGACTGTGAACCAACACAGTCCCCAAAGGGTTGAGTGAGGTTTAAGAATATGGCACCATGTGATGTATGTCTTACAGTTTGATTGATGGCCTTTAAGTCTGGCCCAAAATGATATTTGGTCTCTGGTTTTGCACTGGCAAAATGGGAATATTTCATGGAGACTAATGATATTGAATGAGTTGGTACCTAAGGAACGTAGCTCTCAGTGGCTTTATGCCTTCCTTTGCATGCCATTTTAGGGAACACTGTATTATTATGAAGCCTTTGTACCTGAGTGGGTCTTGGTTCTACCTATCCTTCTATCAGGCTATATTCCTACCTCTTGTAGGATTTCCACAGAGATTTCTGATAAAGAATTTTTTTCCAGTTATTGTAATGTAGCTTGAAGAGTATGGGCTAATATCTACCTTCTCAGGTAAAAAGGCAACTTGTACATAGAGTTTTATTAGCACAAATGCCGTCTCACCAGAGGTATTGGGCATTCAGTCGTACAAACTGCCTCAAATAGGTTTTTCCTGAGTGACACTCAGTTAGCTGCAGGAAGGACTTGTAGGAGGAAACAGCCATGGTCTTGGAGGACACAGGGCCTTGTCTAGTGCTCAGAACTGAATATGCATCTCCATTGTTGATTACATTTTATTTGGTCACCACTGTGTCATGAATGAAACTTCTAAGCCTTTTTTTTTTTTTTTTAAGATTTTATTTATTTGAGAGGTAGAGTTACAGACAGTGAGAGGGAGAGACAGAGAGAAAGGTCTTCCTTCCGTGGTTCACTCCCCAAATGGCTGCAACGGCCAGAGCTGTGCCGATCCGAAGCCAGGAGCCAGGTGCCCCTTCCCAGTCTCCCAAGTAGGTGCAGGGACCCAAGGACTTGGGCCGTCTTCTGCTTTCCCAGGCCATAGCAGAGAACTGGATTAGAAGAGGAGCACCTAGGACTAGAACTGGTGCCAATATGGGATGCTGGCGCCGTAGGCAGAGGATTAACTTATTGCGCCTAGGCGCCAGCCCCTGTAAGCCATTTTTATTACTTTTTTATTCCTCTTCCTACACTTCCACCCCTGTTTTGGAAATTTAGTAGAGTCTGGTTATCATTGAAATCAACCAGTAATTAATACTGCCATTTATGGAAAAAAAAAAAAAACAGTACTGCTTTTCAAGGATTTTCCATTTTTTCCAGCACCTAATTTCATATTGCTTTTGATGTTGTTGGTAGTTCAGTCTTTACAGGTCAAACTGGGTTTGCTCTTAGTTGCCCATACAGAAAACTGCTGGAACTAACTATAGTATGAAGGCAGGCAAAGGATCTAATAATATCTTATTACCTCTGAAGTAGAAGTGTAACCCACAATTTATTGATGAACAAAATAAGTAGTTATGTGGTCTTAGTGAGGACAGACCTCCTGGTTCCAAACTTCCTACTGCCACTTACACTGCCTCAGGGAGATGGATACATTTTGAATAAAGCCTTTCAAAATGTGTGTAGTCTGTTTTGTATGATGAACCTGTTAAAAGTGATTATTGCACATCATTTTTAATAAAAGATGTCAAGTGTAGACTTGTATACATGTGCCTGACTATAGCCTGACAGATGGGTTTTTCTATAGTAGCTTTAATATACGTGTTGGTAGTTAGCTTCATTAAAATAAAGAATAATTCAGGGGCTGGCATTTGGTGTGGTGGTTTAGATGCCACTTGGGACACCTGTATCTTCTGTCAGAGGGTCTGGATTCAAGTCCCAGCTCAACTCCGGCTTCCAGGTTCCCACTAATGTGCATTCTCGGAGGCCCCAGGAGACGGTCCAAGTAGTTGAGTTCCTGCCACCCATGTGGGAGACTGAGATTGAGTTCCTGGCACTTGGCTGGCTGGCTATTGCCAACATTTGGAGAATAAACCAAAAGATTGGAGATCTCAGTCTTCCAAATAAGTAATATAGCATAAAGGGTTTCTATCTTGGGCTGTACTAAAATTTAGTACTTGAAATAAATTTCTCTATAATACTATTTACTACAGGCAGTTGTGACACACCTTATCGCAAACCATTAATATATTATGCTGAAAATTGTTATTTTGCCAGTGCCGAATTTTTTCTTTGTATTTCTTTTACAGAAAAAGATGGCAAAGCATTTCATCCAACTTATGAAGAGAAACTGAAGCTTGTAGCACTGCATAAGCAGGTTCTTATGGGTCCATATAATCCAGACACTTGTCCTGAGGTTGGATTCTTTGATGTGTTGGGGAATGACAGGAGGTAACAATGTTTTTTGTATATTGAATTTAATGAGAATAGTATTAGATAGGGGTACAGTGTCAATTGGTAACATATAAATAGCTGGTTCATTAGCCTAGAATAAGAACTAAAACAAACATTTTTGTTTGCAGCTTTTGGAGACCTCACATGTTTATCTGTTTTTGACTTGGAGATGTTTATGGCTAAATATTGTGGAAGAAGTTTACTCATCTGATTATGCACAGAAGACAAGTACAGCTTCATTTGACTCTTCCTAAATAATATAAACAGCAGCCATTTAAAAATACATATTAGTTGATGACCTTATTGGGACATAAAGTTGTAACAAAAATGGTACATTGAATGTATTTTGTTAAGACTAAAATATAAGAAAATTAAAGCATTGATAATCTTTGCTATATTGGAATTATCAGCAATATAGCTAAATTCAGTTGGACAGTATGTGGCCTAATTTAGTAAATCTGCATATGCTTTTTGAAACTTGAAGTTGGGATCATTTTGCTTAGTGTGTAGTCATTTTAATCGTAATTGAGAACTGTTCACATTTAGGTTTAAATTCATTTAGGTTCTCACTCTGTAAGGGGAGGTAACTTTGCTTTTATTCCTTTCAGGAGAGAGTGGGCGGCCCTAGGAAACATGTCTAAAGAGGATGCCATGGTAGGGTTTGTCAAGCTCCTAAATAGGTGTTGCCATCTCTTTTCAACATATGTTGCATCCCACAAGATCGAGAAGGAAGAGCAAGAAAAAAAAAGGTGACATTTGAGGGCACAGAATATTTTTCCCCTGTGCAACCTATTATACTGATGATACTGTTTTATAGTGTGTTCTTGACCCTGTGTCTTCCCTTGGGTCTCACTGTGACAGTGGTTAAAACTTCCTGATTATGAGGTTTGGAGAAGGGAGGGTGCTTCCTTCTGGCTGTACCTTTAAAAGGAACCTCCCATCCAGCATGACAGCATTCCTTTTATCTTATTGGTTACTGATCACACTCCACTTTCAACTGAACCACTCCTTCCTCCCTATCCCCTGGTCTCACCACACCCTTGCTGCAGTCTCCCTTGAGTTTCTAGTGTAATCACGCTCCATTTCATGGTGTTATGCCACATGCTAGGCCTAATATTCATATTGACTTTGGCTTCCAGTTGGCTTATTTATTTTTCCTAGGCTTGGAAGAAGAGTTGCTAAATGGACTGTTCATGTTTATGGGATTTTCTGTTGTGATGTAAATCAGAATTATGGTTAACATGTATGTTGCTAGAACAGGGATGGTCAAAATCTTTTGCTCTGGTCCTGCCTAAAGCAGCCAGAGGTGGGACTCAAAATCAATAAATCTATAGAAGGCTAATTTTTAAGCTGATAATTTTGTATGACCCAAAATTAATAATATCCAAATAGTCATGGGCAGAGAAAAGATTTACCACCCCTGATGTAGAAATTATATTTTCAACAACTTTGACTAAAGTTTCTAGGTAACAGTGCTATAAAATCAGTTCTTCCTCATATTATACTTTCACAGCTGTTTGTCTTCTGGTTTCCAACCTTACCCTAGACTAGAAATACAGATTAAGAGAGTAAATAGCCTGCCGGCGCCGTGGCTTACTTGGCTAATCCTCCGCCTGTGGTGCTGGCATCCTGGGTTCTAGTCCCAGTCGGGGCGCCAGTTCTGTCCCGGTTGCTCCTCTTCCAGTCCAGCTCTCTGCTGTGGCCCGGGAGGGCAGTGGAGGACGGCCCAGGTGCTTGGGCCCTGCACCCGCATGGGAGACCAGGAGGAAGCACCTGGCTCCTGGCTTCAGATCGGCGCAGTGCGCTGGCCATAGCAGCCATTTGGGGAGTGAACCAATGGAAGGAAGACCTTTCTCTCTGTCTCTGTCTCTGTCTCTCTCTCTCACTAACTCTGCCTGTCAAAAAAAAAAAAAGAGTTAATAGCCTAATAAATGAGGGAGGAAAAATAAACTCAAATTATTAAAAGCCTGGAAGTCAGTTAATATGAAGATAAACTTCTCCATTATGGCATAATGTAGTATTTATGCTTGTAGTTCTAACCCCTGAGACTTAAAAGACAGAATCATAGATATAATTTATTCCTGTTTAATAGGATAGGAAAAAGGTTAATTATAATCTCAGAAAACGTTTATCCAAAGGAAAAATGTTTGTCAGTTTATTTGAGATACATATAAAGATTTTCTATCTGCTGGTTCACTCTCCATGTGCCTGCAGCAGCTACGGCTGAGCCTATGTCCAGTAGCCAGGAATTCATTCCAGGTCTCTCCTATGTGGATGGTAGGGACTCAAGTACTTGAGCCATTACCTGCTGCCTCCTTGGATGTACAATAATAGGAAGCTGGGATTGGGAGCAGAGCTAGGACTTGAACTCGGGCACCTGAATATATGGAATATGGGGTCCCAAGCAGCATTTCAACCACTGAACCAAACAGACTATGGACTGTTTGTAGTTGGAGGTCCTGCCCTTTTCTTTTTTTTTTTTTTTTTTTTTTTTTTTTTTTTTTTGACAGGCAGAGTGGACAGTGAGAGAGAGAGACAGAGAGAAAGGTCTTTCTTTGCCGTTGGTTCACCCTCCAATGGCCGCCACTGCAGCCGGCGCACCGCGCTGATCCGATGGCAGGAGCCAGGATCCAGGTGCTTTTCCTGGTCTCCCATGGGGTGCAGGGCCCAAGCACCTGGGCCATCCTCCACTGCACTCCCTGGCCATAGCAGAGAGCTGGCCTGGAAGAGGGGCAACCGGGACAGAATCCGGCGCCCCGACCGGGACTAGAACCCGGTGTGCCGGCGCCGCAAGGTGGAGGATTAGCCTATTGAGCCACGGCGCCGGCCTGGTCCTGCCCTTTTCAAGAAGAATTTGAAAAATTTTAGTTGATTTATTTGAATGGTAGAGTTGGAGAGAGAAAAGGAGAGAGGGAACTGTACCCAGTCTTCCACATGGGTGGCAGAGGCCCAAGTATTTGAGTCATCTGCTGCTGCTTTTCCAGGTGCATGAGCAGGGAGGCAGATCAGAAGTACAGCAGCTAGGACTCAAACTGGCCCTCATGGGACTCCAGCATCACAGGTAGCAGCTTCTCCTGCTGTACCACAGTGTGCCTCCCCCTAACCCCCTTTTAATTAAGAAACAGAACTCCCACCTGCTGATTGATTCCGCAGCGGCCAGCAATGACCAAGTCTAGGCTGGAGCCAGGAGTTAAGAACATAACCCAGGTCTCCTAGGTAGGTGGTGAGAACTCAGTTACTGTAGTCCTCATCACTGCTTGCCAGGATCTACATTGGCAGGAAGCTGGAGTCAGGAGCCAGAGCCCAGAATCAAACCCAGGCATTCCAATGTAGGACATAAGCATCTTAACCAGTAGGCTAACTGCCTACTCCTAAAGGAAGATTTGTTTATTTACTTGAGAGGCAGAGTTACGGATAGAGAGAGGGAGAGATGGAGAGAAAGGTCTTCCATCTGCTATTTTACTCCTCAAATGGCTGCAGTGGCCAGAGCTGGGCTGATCCAAACCCAGGAGCTTCTTCTGAGTCCCCCTTGTGGGGACAGGGCCCAAGCACTTAAGCCATCAGCAGGCAGCTGGATCCAAAGTGGAGCATCAGGGACTTGAACTGGCACTAATATGGGTTGCCGGCACTGCAGGCAGATGCTTAACCCACTATACCACAGAGCCAGCCCTGATTATTTTTTAATTCAAAGAAAAAATTAATACTTATCAGAATGGAATGATGTCCCTTTAATCAAAAAACTACTCAAGATGAAAATATAAATGCATATAAAAATATTTTTCCTTTAAAATATACTTCTGTTGTGGGATTTAATCCATATAGAATTTTTTAAAAGCATTTGAGACTAGTTCACATAGAATTCTTTTAAATCATTTCATCCATCCTGAAGCTTAAGCTCTGGCTTATGAAACTTCATGTCCTGGACGAGGTATGACATAGTAAAAGTAGATCTTGTTATTGCTGTATTTGGAGCCTTGGTTGTGGCTCAGGTTTGGTAATCATGGGAATTTGGGGGGGAGGGGAGAGTGAGATAACAGCACATAATCGTCATAGTAGGACCAAGAAATAGTGTCTTCTGAGAATCCTTAGAAATTCATCCTTTCTTCAACCTCCCTGTAATCCAGCCCACTCTTAGACCCATAAGATGTTCATTCCTAGTGCAGCAGTCTGTTCATTTTGGAAATGGGCATTTGTGGGAGTTTGCAAAAGCTAGGTAAGGGCTACAACTAAAAGTCCAGCTGTTTTCATTATATGGAATATTTTTATATTTCTGAAATTACATTTTTAAAGCTTATAACTATGAAACACAATCAAACTCTAACCTTTAATTCTGCTTTCCTTTCTGTAGGTAATAACTCACACACTTAAAAAGATTTTTATTAATTTATTTTGAGAGAGTTACAGAGGGAGAGAGAAAGGTCTTCCATCTGCTATTCACTCCCCAAAATGGCTGCAACCACTGGAGCTGAGCCAATCAGGAACTTCTTCCTGGTCTCCCAAGTGGGTGCAGGGGCCCAAGCACTTGGGCCATCTTCTGCTGCTTTCCTAAGCCCTTACAGGAAGCTAGATTGGAAGAGGAGCAGCCAGGACTTGAACTGGCACCCATATGGGATGCCAGCACTGCAGACATCAGCTTTACCTGCTATGCCACAGTGCCGGCCCCATTGTTGCCACTTTTCTAGAGAGCAACTCGGTGATCCCAGACACCATGTAAGGAGTGGAAGACGGCACAGGTGAGCCGCAGCTTGCGCTGGGGAGCTCACGTGCAGGTATAGGAAGGCTGCGCTGCAGGAGACCGTGGGTTGGAGCTGGAAAGAAAGCTTGCGGTGGTTGCAGGACGAGTGGCAGGCGGAGCCATCCCGGAAGTCTGGTTTGTGGCTTTGGTTCTGTGCTTTTCCGGGGTGTCTCTGAAATATGCCCAAGCAAGGGCACGTCTAGACTTTGTGGGGTCTGACACTTATATACCACCGTGGGGGAGAGAGTGGTGCTTAAGAAAAGGAATAGAGAATTAGGTACCCAAATGGATGCTTTTCTGGAATGAGAAAAGAAACCACAACAAAAAATTTCAACTCTTTAAAAAACTAGTATCTCTAAATTCAAATAACACAGTCATAATAATAGCTATTATTATTACCATATGAGTTGCCAGTGCTACAGGCAGAGGCTTATTAGCCCACTACACTGCAGCGCTGGCCCCCTGACCCACTCTTAAGTAGGTGAAAGTCTAGTCCTAGTTGGGGCGCTGGTTCTGTCCCAGTTGCTCCTCTTCCAGTCCAGCTCTCTGCTGTGGCCCCGGAAGGCAGCGGAGGATGGCCCAAGTGCTTGGGCCCTGCACCCGCATGGGAGACCAGGAGGAAGCACCTGGCTCCTGGCTTTGGATTGGCGCTGCGCGCCAGCCATAGCAACCATTTGGGGGGTGAACCAACAGAAGGAAGACCTTTCTCTCTGTCTCTCTCTCTCACTGTCTTAACTCTGCCTGTCAAAAATAAATAAATAAATAAATAAATAAAAAGTTTTGACAGCTTGGGGTATATCCTGCCAGGCCCCCCCCTTTTTTTTTTCTTTTCATTAAACACATTAACTGTCTTTATACATTAGGCCTTCTCTCCTTTTCTTAATGGCTGTATGACATTCCATGGCATTGTGCATTTCTGAACATGTTTGTTGAGCACTTGTTCTTCACACTGTGCTAAACCCTAAGGGTGTAATGGTGTGAGATAAGCAGTCTTAGTCCTCATAGAACACATATACTTGAATGGGTAAGGCAGATGTTTTTGCTAAATTTATCACACAAATTTAATTGCAACCACGGGAGGTGTGTAGGAAAAGCTTGTAGTGCTGTGAGCATATTTTATAGGGGATCCTTCAGGATACAGATATAACATAATGACTTAAATACTTAAGTATCTTACTAGTGGACACCTTTTTCTGTTGTGCAGCAATAAATCTATGGATGTTATTTTGTATATGATAAACCTGTACTAGTGAAGTGAATGCGTTTCAGTCTTTGATGGGTGTTACCACATTATTCTCAAAGGTTTTGTTAATTTTCATTGGGAAATAAAGTCTTTAATTAGTTTTTTACTTATTTTTTTGTTTGACAGAGTTAGTGAGAGAGAGACATAGAGAAAGGTCTTCCTTTTTCCGTTGGTTCACCCCCCAAGTGGCCATTACAGCCGGCGCATCGCGCCGATCCAAAGCCAGGAGCCAGGTGCTTCTCCCGGTCTCCCACGCGGTGCAGGGCCCAAGCACTTGGGCCATCCTCCACTGCCTTCCTGGGCCACAGCAGAGAGCAGGGCCCAAGCACTTGGGCCATCCTCCACTGCCTTCCTGGGCCACAGCAGAGAGCTGGACTGGAAGAGGAGCAACTGAGACTAGAACCTGGCGCCCATATGGGAAGCCGGTGCCGCAGGTGGAGGATTAACCAAGTGAGCCATGGCGCCGACCCCTTTAAATAGTTTTAAACAGTTTCATTGTGTAGGGCTCATTCTCTGTGTGTACTTTACTATAGGAAAGAGGAGGAGGAGCGGAGGCGTCGTGAAGAGGAAGAGAGAGAACGTCTGCAAAAGGAAGAAGAGAAACGCAGGCGAGAGGAGGAGGAACGGCTTCGACAGGAAGAGGAGGAGAGGAGGCGAGTAGAAGAAGAGAGACTTCGGTTGGAGCAGCAAAAGTAAGCTTATATTTAAAATGAGAACTAGACGACCACACTGTTGTCCCCTGAGATTTTACTGTTATGTGCCTTAGAGTAATTGTGTGAGTTGTATGACTGCGAGGTTAGAGAGTCCATATTGGCTAGTGCTTGATTTATTAGCCAAGAGGGCCTTATCTTAAGCATCATTTGGTTGCAAAAGGAGGAACATACTAGAAAGATTCAGAATCCAGAGATTGCTTGGGTGTGCTCTGAGTCACTGGACCCACGTGATCTCATCTTTACTTCCATTTGCCGCCTTATTCCTGTTCTCTACAAATTGTCACACTCTGTTTAGGTATATACAAGGCTGTCTGAGCCTGGATTTATTTGGTGTGTTTCCATACGTTTGACAGAGACTGGCTAGAATCTGAGAGACCCAGTTAAATTCTGAGGACAGAGAATCCTGTTGACCTGATCTGTATCAAGTATCCATCTCTAGTCCATGGTACAGTACTTGAAGGCCAAGTATTTATTCAGTAATGACTGAGAGCAGCTGTCCCAGGAGAGTCTGGGTCTTCAAGGGGGAGCTGTGAGTACAAGGAGGAAGTGATTAGCATCTGTAACAAGGCCTGGTATACAAGGTAAACCAGAGAACATGAGGGTCCATTGGATTTGCTTCATTATTTTTGGATAGTTCTTCCGGAGAAGCTTCAGACTGATCCAGAGCCACCTGCACTTAGGATAGACACTATGATTGCTCTCTTTCAGGACTGGGATACCCTAGGTAGACAAATTATGCTGTATTCAGGAGGTATGATTGATACTCTGTTACCTGGCCATCAGTGGATACCTTTGAGCTCTTTCTTAAGGTGGTCACATTACTGGGTTAAGCACATGTGGTTCTTCTATGAAAGAAAATAAAGAATTTTATTAGTTTATCAAAATTAAATCAGACTTTAAATGAAATAGTACCGATGCTCAAATTTTCACTGGCTTTATACTAACCAGGGCTGCCCACTTGCAGCAGTTTTTCTTTCTGCGTTAAGTAGAGAAGCCATGAACAACAGTTATATCCCTCCTTTCTGCCATGTGTGACAACCGTTATCTTGCAGTAGTGCAAACACTGGACCAGACATCCTGCATTCGAATGCTGGCTCTGGCATCTGCTTGTAGTATAACCTTAGCCAAGTCATTGAGCCTTAATGAACCTCAACGGTTTGTTGTGAGGAGCAAATAGGTTAGGATGTGTAAATGCTTTGAACGTGGTATGCCACTTAGTAAGGGCACAGAGTTAGATGTGTTCTTAGTACTGTCCGCCTCAGATTTTCCTTAAAAAAAAAAAAAACTAAAAATTTAGAGTAAGTTTATTTTCTTAAATCTTCCTTCAGGGCTTGGGACACATGCTGGTTGGTATACATCTCTAGCTTAGATATTTTTAAGAGTGACAAACCATAGCAATAAATAATGACATTTTATTTTGTCATTAACAGTCTCCTGTAGTCAGACTAGTATATGTTTTTTAATGTTTTTAGGCAGCAGATAATGGCAGCTTTAAACTCCCAGACTGCCGTGCAGTTCCAGCAGTACGCAGCCCAACAGTATCCAGGGAACTACGAACAGCAGCAAATTCTCATCCGCCAGTTGCAAGAGCAACACTATCAGCAGTATATGCAGCAGTTGTATCAAGTCCAGCTTGCACAGCAACAGGTATGGTAGACACCCCCAGAATTCAGCCTTAGAGAAGGCTTTTAGTTTCATTGAAACTCAAGTTCTTTCTAGCAGTTGCCAATTAATTTTGCATTAGCTAGCTTCTAAGGTATAAAATAACTTTTAGATGGTCTTTTAAGCAGACTTTCGCATTGCACTGGCAATTACAAGAGAAAATAAACACTACTGAAGCAGCAAATGATGTAGCCATTCTCTTAAGGGTTTGGGGGAGTGGTAGGGGCCAGGTTTCATTACTGGGAGTCTGGCATAGATTCTGATAGTGGTGCTAGAACCTGAGGGCCTGGGAGGCTGGGCTTGGTGGAAGGACTCCCCTCCCCACAGCCCATGGGCCATTTTGGCAGAGCTATGGTAGGTCCATTTTGACTTGTATAGGCACCATGGCTGGACAGTGCTCACCACAACACTTTAGTATTCCTCCTCCAGCTCCCTACCACCACAAATAGGAGAGGATGGTTTGTGCTGAAAGAACAATGGAACTAGGGGTCTGGAAACACTTGGATTCTGTTGTAGCTTTGCTTTAATCTTGTTTAGTTACTGTTGCTCTTATTTTTCTTCTACTTTGTAGGAATAGAATATAAATCAAGGTACCTGTCCTATTAACCTCACAGGACTATCAGAGGAATATAAAATAAGTTATTCTGTGAAAATGATCTGTATACATAGAGGACACCGATTTTACATTCATCTTTTACAGCCTCTGTAAATGGCCTCTTTTAAAAGTACTTACTTTATTGAAAAGGCAGAGAGAGAGAGAGATCTTCCATTTGCTAGTTCATTCCCCAACTGCCTATAACAGCAGGGGGCTGGGCCAGGCTGGAGCCAGGAGCCAGAACTCTATCTTGTCTCCCTGGTGGATGGAAGGGATCCAAGTACTTAAGCCATGATCCGCTGCCTCCCAGGAACATGAGCAGGAAGCTGGATTGGAAGCACAGAGGAGCTGAGACTTGAACCAGCACTGTCATATGGGATGCAGGCGCCCCAAGCAAAGGCTTAACCCACTGTGTCCACGTTGTCTGCCTCATAAATGGTCTCTTAAACTTAACCTAAGTTTATTTAAATTTCACATACAGGTAGTTATCACCTATCAGAAAATCTGAGTGAAAAACAATGGTACAGTATAGTTACTCAGCATTTCTTGTTATATGAAATATTTTTTGCTTTTGCCACATTCTTTAAATCCCTTGAAAATGTGTATTCTTACCTAAAATACCTTTTTCTTTGAATCTTCGGCATCAGTGTGAAGGTAAAAGCACTGCAGGTTTTGTGTAATCTACAAGAGGAGGAAAAGGATGCGCAACGAGAGTTCATTCAAGATCAGTGGTATTTTTGAGGGTTTTATCCTCTGTCCTCTTCAGCCTGTTTCTGCTGCATCATGCCATTTCCCTTTGCTGCTTGGGTACACTCTGAGATAAATTTTAAATAGGGTAGTTCATACACTGTCCTGTTCATAAGTCGCTCTCACTTTAATCAGAAGAATGTCAAGTAGGGCAAAACTAAGAATCCTTGAAATACTTGGAAAGCCATAATTGAGACTAGTACAAACTCAGCTAATCAAATTGATTGGTCGCCTCTGGGAAGAGAGGACAGATAATAAGAAAGGGAACTTCAGTCCTATAAAGTATTAATGTAATTAATTATTATATTTATATATTATATTTACATATATTAATGCGATTATTATACTTATATTAATATAAAGTATTAATGTAAATATTGAACAAAATTCAAGTACTTGGGTCTTTGCCACCCATGTGGGAGATTCGACTCAAGTTCCTAGCTCCTGACTTTCAGTGTGGCCCAGCCCTGGCCATTGTGGGCATTTGGGGAGTGAACCAGCAGATGGGAAATCAGTCACTATCTCATAGCTCACTCGCTCTCAAATTTCTCAATGTAGAAAAGAGAATATGTAGGGGCCAGTGCTGTGGCATAGTGGGTAAAACCACCGCCTGCAGTGCCGGCATCCCATAGTTCGAGTCCAGGCGGCTCCACTTCTATGGCCTGGGAAGGCAGTGTAAGATAGCCCAAGTACTTGTGGCCCTGCCCTTCACGTGGGAGACCGAGAGGAAGCTCTTGGCTTCAGATCGGCACAGCTCCAGCCATTGCGGCCAACTGGGGAGTGAACCATTGGATAAAAGACCTCTCTCTTTCTCTCTGCCTCTCCTTCTCTGTGTAACTCTTTCAAGTAAATAATCTTTTTTTTTTTAAATGAGAATATGTAAATAAATCAGTCTGTTATATGTAGATGCACATTTTGGGCAGTGGAGTTAAACAGAAGTTTGTTCATTCTGCTAAAGAACTTCTAGAAAGGCTTAGTGGAGAAGGACCATGTTTTATTTCCTGTCTTATTCAGTAAATGTTCTGAACATGCTGACTTGTTTTGGTTGTATGCACTTTTTATGGAACCTGGCACTCTTTGTGGAAAATTAATGTTAAAGTTACTGAAAATGTAGGCCATGGGAGAGGGTGATTTAAAATCTTATGTGTATTACTAGCCTGGGCTAGCAGGAGATAGGTGTTGCTGTTCATATATGTAATTGGCTTGTAAAGGATGTGTGCAGATGTGCCAAAATGACAGTATCCCTAAGCCATATACTAAAGGCTTTATATATTTCTTAAAGTAGAGTGAGTATATATTTAATTATAACTTGGTGTTACTTTAGAAATTTACCCAAATACTCAACAGCAGAATATTCTATGGCGGCACACAAAAAAATTAGAATTATGTGACCCTGTGGATAAACCTTATAAAAATAGTGCTGAGGGGCTGGCGCTGTGGCATAGTGGGTAAAGTCTCTGCCTGTAGTGCCTACATCCCATATGGGTGCCAGTTTGAGTTCCAGCTGCAGCACTTCCGATCCAGCTCTGCTGTGGCCTGGGAAAGCAATAGAAGATAGCCAAGTCCTGGGGACCCTGCACCTGTGTGGGAAACCCAGAAGAAGCTCCTGGCTTCAGATCAGCCCAGTTCTGGCTGTTGTGGCCATTTGGGGAGTGAACCAGTAATGAAAGGTCTTTCTCTGTCTCTCACCTCTCTCTCTGCTTCTAACTCTGCCTTTCAAATAAATAAATATTTTAAAAATAATAGTGCTGAATGAAAAAAGCCAGACATAGAGGAGCATATACACCAGTCAGCCATTTGCAGGCAGAGATCTATAGTGTTACAAGTCAGAATAATGTACCCTTGCAGGAAAGTGTCTGGAAAGGGGTCCCATGGAGGATTCAGGGATGCTGATGTCTTGATCTGGTGTTGAGTACATGGAGATTTTTAATTTATGAAAATTGGTCAAGTGGTATAATTTATGATTTGCATTTTTCTTATACATGTGTTATAGTTCAGTTTTTTTAAAGATTTATTTGAAAGGCAGAATTAGAGATCTTCCATCCACTAGTTCATTCTCCAGATGGCCATAACAGCCAGGGCAGTGCTGTCCTGAAGCCATAAAGCCAAGAGCTTCTTCTGAGTCTCCCACATGGGTACAGAGGCCCAAGCACTTGGGCCATCTTCAGTTGTTTTCCCAGGCCATTAGCAGGGAGCTGGATTGAAAGTATAGCAGCTGAGACTCGAACCTGGGCCCATATGGGATGCTGGCACTGTAAGTGGAGGCTTAACCTGCTACACCACAGCACTGGTCCCTATAGTTATTAATTCTTGACTTAGAATGAGAATGTAAAGAAGGAAAAAAAAAAGAATTGGAATGTTTTTGTTGTCTTATTTTGACTTGGGACATTTTGATTTAATATTTGTGGACATAGACATTTTAATAACTGTAAACTGATGAGTTTTCATTGAAAATATTTTTACTTTAAAATTTTTTTTATAAAGGTTTATTTACTTATTTAAAAGGCAGAGTTACAGAGAGGTCTTCCATCCTCTGGTTCACTCCCCAGATGGCTGTATCAGCCAAAGCTGCACCAATCCAAAAGCAGGATCCAGGAGCGTCTTCCAGGTCTCCTATGCAGGTGCAAAGGCCCAAGGACTTGGGCCATCTTCCACTGCTTTCCCCGACCATAGCGGAGAGCTAGATGGGAAGTGGAGCAGCCAAGACTCGAATTGGCGCCCATAATGGGATGCTGGCACTGCAGGTGGCGGCTTTACCTGCTATGCCACAGTGCTGGCCCTTTATAAAAAAATTTTTTTTTAAATTTATTTATTTACTAGAGAGGCAGAGTTATAGACAGAAAGATCTTCCATTCACTTGTTCACTCCCCAAATGGCCACAATGGCCGAAGCTGGGCCAACACACGGATGCAGGGACCTGAGCATTTAGGCCAGCTTCTGCTTTCTCAGGCCATCGGCAGGAAGCTGGATCAAAAGTGGTGGAGCCAGGACTTGAACCAGCTGCCACATGGGATACTGGTGCCTCAGGTGGAGGCTTAACCTACTACACCACGGCGCAGGCTCTCACTTCTCCCCCCACCACACACACTTTTTTTAAAAAATTTATTGATTTAAAGGCAGAGTTACAGAAAGAGGTCTTCCATCCGCTGGTTCACTCCCCAGATGGCCACAATGGCCGGAGCTGGGCCCATCTGAAGCCAGGAGCTTCTTCTGGCTCTCCCATGGGGGTTCAAGGCCCCCAAGGACTTGGGCCATCTTCTGCTGCTTTCCTTGCCATAGCAGAGAGCTTGATCAGAAGAGGAGCGGCTGCGACTAGAAATGGCATCTATATATGGGATGCCAGCACTGCAGGTGGCAGCTTTACCTACACCCAGTTGGCCTCTATTTTTGTCTATATTAAAATAATTATCCATATTCGATTTGTTGGTTACTTTAGAGGCCCATCATCACATTTTACTGGTTACAGCTTCTGCCTTTATGAATTGCCTTTTCTGACCATTTGTTTCTACCAAGTTTAATTTTCCTAATTCAATTTTTATGTATTTGAATTTTATCAAGGTAGTTTTCTCCCTTCAATTTTAATACATGTAACTGTGTTCAGATTTTTGTATTTAATGGTTTTACATAGGGTTTATTATTCTAATTTTTCCTGGTTAGTTTTTCTAGTGATTCTCAGATCATAGAAATGTAATACCTGTAGTTGTCCACATTCATTTTCAGCCATCAGTTTGATATTAGACAACTCATAGATAGGATAAAAACTTACAAAAGTTTATTAATTTCTTGGAGGAGAGTACTTGGGTTGGGCACAAGCATGGAGGCAGAGTGCACACCAAGACAAGTGTCCCATTTGTCAGCAATCCTGGTCAGCATATCTTCACTATTTCTTGATTTGTAGGCAGCATTACAGAAACAACAGGAAGTAGTAGTGGCTGGGGCCTCTTTACCTACATCATCAAAAGTGAATGCAACTGTATCCAGTGATATGATGTCAGTGAATGGACAGGCCAAAACCCACACTGACAACTCTGAAAAAGAACTTGAACCAGAAACTGCAGAAGAAGCCCTGGAGAATGGACCAAAAGGTATGGCATGGCTATGTGTTCTTGTAATTCACACTCTGAAGGACCAATGTCAGGAAGTCGGGTTAACTAGTTTTTGAGAGCAATTACAGATCTGTTGAGAACTGAGAACTTTTTATTTTATTTATATTTTTTTGAGTCAATCTGATGCTTCTGGTGACCCTTAGTGCAGAAGAATAAGTCAGATGTCTTTTATATATATTGATTCTCCATTGCCATGTAGCAAAATTATACCCAAATTAGTAGCTTTAAATAATGAACGCTGCTGTTTCACACCACTTCTGAGGGCCAGTAGTTTAGCTCAGTGTTTTTGGCTGAAGCTGGTTGTGTGAAGGCTTCATTGGAACTCGAGAACCTGCTTTCAAAATGGGTCCATTACATGGCTGGCAGGTTGGTGCTGGCTCCTGGCAGGAGACATTAGTTCCCTGCCCTGTGAAGTCTTTCCATAGCACTGCTTATGTGTCTTTAACTCAGAGTGGCTGGCTCCCGCAGGGCATATAACCCAAAAGAGAATAAGGCAAAAGTGGTGGTGTCCTTTATGCCCTGGTTTTTGAGGTAAAACATCAGCATTTCCACTGTATTATATCAATCACACTTACCTCACAGGTGCATGAAGACCCCAAGGGTGAGGGCCACTGGGGGGCTATGTTGATTTTTTGAGATTAAGGTACCATGTTACTCAGAAGATAACTTAGCAGCTCATGCATCCATTCAGTAACTAGTTGAAGGTTTTCTGAGTGCTAGGGGTGTAGTGGTGAAATAGAGTCACACACATAACATGAACATTTTACTAAGCACAAAGATGGAGAGGTACATTATAGTATATGAAGGAGGCCTCCCTGAGGAAGGGACAGCTGAACTGCGAGATTTGAAGCCAGAGTGCAGGCATTAACTAAATACGGAAGAAGACAACAGCATCTCAGTGACTGGTCAGGAATGGTAGTGTGGTTCATTAAGAAATTTGGTTTCAGAAATCTTTGTCTTTAATACTATTAACATAAAACAGCTTCAGAAAAGACCTTGAAATCCTTTTTTTTTAGTCCCTAGAATTTTGGGATATTCAGAGCTTGAGACAAAGATTCATTTTCTTCCAGTTAGAGAGTTTCCAACGTCATTCTTAAATCCTCATACATCATTAGAATATTAGAAAAGTCACTCTTAAGATTGTGGATTACATTTCTTACTTGAATTGGTTTGATGACTCCAAGCACCTGTGACATTGTTAAATTAGTAATCTGGGAGAGAGACTAATGGGAGGGCTTTTCTGTTTCTCTAACCAGACTGTGTTATACATGGAACCTAAGTACAGCTGGGCAAGTGGTACTATGCAGTGTTGTTGCCTTTCTCTTTAGCTTTTGTAATTCCTGTTGCCTTTAGAATCTCTTCCAGTGATAGCAGCTCCATCCATGTGGACACGACCCCAGATCAAAGACTTTAAAGAGAAAATTCGGCAAGATGCGGATTCTGTGATTACAGTGGGCCGAGGAGAAGTGGTCACAGTTCGAGTTCCTACCCATGAAGAAGGATCCTATCTCTTTTGGGAATTCGCTACAGACAATTATGACATTGGGTTTGGGGTGTATTTTGAATGGACAGACTCTCCTAACACTGCTGTCAGCGTGCATGTCAGTGAGTCCAGTGATGACGACGAGGAGGAAGAAGGTAGAACCATTGTCCCTATTCAGCAGCTGCTGGGTTGTATGCTGACAGAAATGAAGTTTTGCTTTCTGATTAACACTTCATGGACAGGGAACAGCCTCTTCATTAGTAGGACCTAGGCTGAAGTGGTTGTGAGAGAGGCCAGCCTCCTATAGAAAGACTGGTCTCTGAACATGAATTTTTCTTAATTCCAGGAAAGTCTGTTAGGCAATTTGTAATTTTATGCTTTCTGAATGCCATTTCACTTCCAGCTTTGTGTATTGAAAAGCCAAACATACAAGATCATTTTGAAACTTTTTAAAGGAACAAGTAAGAATTTGTCAATCCTGTAATTTATCTGAATTTGTATTTTTTACACAAGTGTACTTTCCAAAGTTTGTGGAAAATATAATTAGAAGTGTGAGTTTATTTTGGAGCTTTCTAGAAGTGAACATACCTTTGTCCCATTTGAATGTTGAGCTCACAAGTTGCATTTATACATATACCTTAGGAGGCTATTATACCATTTTATTGGGAGTCCTTTAGATTTGATTTCAAGTGAAAGAAGGGTACAATTTTTTGTTGCTTATTTGGTTTAGTTTTTTTCCTTCCTTGAAAGGTAGAAGAGATCATTTTCTGTGATGAAGTAGGATGGTGTAACCCCTCCTCCTGTGGGTTTTTAAAACTTTATTTTAAATGAACCTCTATTTATTTGAAAGGCAGGATCTTCCTTCTTACTGCTTCACTCTCTAAATGCCTGCAACAGCTGGAACTAAGCCAGGCCATTCCTCATCCTGTTTTTATTTTTTACTGTTTCCACATTCCAAGTCTTTGTTTAAATTGATAAAAGGTGCTTTTGTTCATCTATATCAGTAGTCCTCAGTTTTGCAGATTTTTGAATTTTTTTGAATTTAGGGGGCTTTTTAAAAAGGTTTATTTGAAAGGCAGAGTTGCAGAAAGAGTGGTCTTCCATCTGCTGGTTCACTCCCTAATGGCCACAACAGCCAGAGCTGAGCTGATCCAAAGCCAGGAGCTTTTTATGGGTCTCCCATATATGTTCAGGGGCCCAAGCACTTGGGCCATCTTCTGTTGCTTTCCCAGGCCATGGGAGAAAGGTGGATCAGAAGTAGAGTAGCCAGGACACGAACTGGTGCTAATATGCAGGCAGTGGCTTTACACACTGTGCCACAATGCCAGCCATCAAAATTTGAATCTTGAGCTAATGGATTAGAATATTTCACATAGATTTTTTTAAAAAAAGCTTAGAAAGCATATGTACAGGGAAGAAACAAATCTTCCATCCACTGGTTTACTCCCCAATGACCACAATACCCTGGCTTGGGTCAGGCTAGAGCCAGAAGCCAGGAACTCCATCTGGGTCTCCCATGTGGATAGCAGAAACCCAGGTACTTGGGTCATCATCTGGTGCCTCCCAAGCTCATTAGCAGGAAGCTGGATTGGAAGTAGAGGAGCTAGGACTTGATTCCAGGCACTTTGACATGGGATGTTGTATCCCAAGCGGCAGCTTAACCTGCTGTGCCACAAATCTTGCCCTCCGTGGATGTAGGCAATAGTGAACGTTTTGAATGGCTCTTTACTTCTCATTTGCATGTGAAAGATGTTTAATTATAGGTATTATTACAGGTTTTTTTTAAAGATTTATTTTTTACTTGAGAGTCAGAGTTACGAGGAGGGGAGAGGGGAGGAGAGGCGAGGAAGGGAAAGAGGTCTTCCATCCAATGGTTCACTCCCCAATTGGCCGCAACAGCTGGAACTGCGCTGATCCGGAGCCAGGAGCTTCCCCCGGGTCTCCCACGCGGGTGCAGGGGCCCAAGGACTTGGGCCATCTTCTACTGCTACCCCAGGCCATAGCAGAGAGATGGATCGGAAGAGGAGCCCGTATGGGATGTTGGCACTTCAGGCCAGGGCGTTAACCCGCTGTGCCACAGCACCAGCCCCTGTATTATTACAGTTTTAAAGCAGACCTGATTTGGACCTACTTTTATAAAATCTACACTTAAGTTTTATTTGAAATGCAGTTACAGAAAGAGAGGTCTTCCATTGTCTGGTTCAGGCCCCACATGGCCACCAACAGCTGGAGCTGGTCCAGTCCAAAGCAAGGAGCATGGAACTCCATCCAGATCTCCCACGTGGGTGGCAGGGGCCCAAGTACTTGGAGCATTTTCTACTGCTTTCCCATACACATTATCAGGGAGCTTAGTTGGAATATATGGTGCCAGCATCACAGGTGGTGGCTTAATCTGCTCTACCACAACTAAGATTTTCTTAATTTTTATCTAATGTTCCAGGATGCCACATTATAGTTGGTTTATCTCCTGAAACTCCTCTAGACTGTGAGGTTATCTTAAATTCCTTACAGCGGTCATTGACTAGTGTCAACACCAGAATGCCACCCTGCCATATTTTAAACCTGAAAGTTTTGCACTTCGTATTCCCTTGATCCATTTGAGGGTGTTTATATTTAATGTTAAACTGAGACTTTTAAGTTGGCTCATACTTTTTTTTCTTTCCTGTAGATTTCTTTCTTTCTTTCTTTCTTTTTTTTTTTTTTTTTTTTTTTTTTTTTTTGACAGGCAGAGTGGACAGTGAGAGAGACAGAGAGAAAGGTCTTCCTTTGCCGTTGGTTCACCCTCCAATGGCCGCCGTGGCCGGCGCACCGCGCTGACCCAATGGCAGGAACCAGGTGCTTCTCCTGGTCTCCCATGGGGTGCAGGGCCCAAGCACTTGGGCCATCCTCCACTGCACTCCCGGGCCACAGCAGAGAGCTGGCCTGGAAGAGGGGCAACCGGGACAGAATCCGGCGCCCCTCCTGTAGATTTCTAAAGGTATTTTTTCCCTTAACTGTATTACAGTTTATAGAACTATTATTGGGAATATTTAAAATCAGAGCTTATTTTTTGCCATTGGATCTTCTCTGGTCACACTAAGAGCACCGAAAGGAAGAGCCATCATAAGTTACTTTACTTCCTAAGACAAGGGGACTCTCATAGTTGTGAAGGAGAGGATCAGAGCAACATTTCCCTGGTTCTTACTCAGAGGAGCGAGAATTAGGAATGGAATGCATACGGAAGAGGGAAGGAACTGAGGTTCAGAAATACGAGCAGTGGTGAGAGCACAGAGCAGGATAGGGAACACTTGGCTTAATTATTACATGCTGACATACATATATGTTGTAGAACGGTTTGAAAGAATTCCTAATAGGCAGTTTTTCAAAGACAAGAAAGTTGATTGGGCCGGCGCCGTGGCTCAATAGGCTAATCCTCCACCTTGCGGCGCCGGCACACCGGGTTCTAGTCCCGGTCGGGGCGCCGGATTCTGTCCCGGCTGCCCCTCTTCCAGGCCAGCTCTCTGCTATGGCCAGGGAGTGCAGTGGAGGATGGCCCAGGTGCTTGGGCCCTGCACCCCATGGGAGACCAGGAAAAGCACCTGGATCCTGGCTCCTGCCATCAGATCAGCGCGGTGCGCCGGCTGCAGCGGCAGCCATTGGAGGGTGAACCAACGGCAAAGGAAGACCTTTCTCTCTCTGTCTCTCTCTCTCACTGTCCACTCTGCCTGTCAAAAAAAATAAAAATAAAAATAAAAAATAAAAATAAAAAAAAAAAAAGAAAGAAAGTTGATTGGTGCAAATGTGGTTTTCCTGGATCTGTTCATTGACTCATCTCTCTTCTCCCTCACAGAGAATGTCACTTCTGAAGAGAAAGCCAAAAAGAATGCCACCAAGCCCCTGCTGGATGAGATTGTGCCTGTGTACCGACGGGACTGTCATGAGGAAGTGTATGCCGGCAGCCACCAGTATCCAGGGAGAGGAGTCTATCTCCTCAAGTTTGACAACTCCTACTCCTTGTGGAGGTCAAAGGCAGTCTACTACAGAGTCTATTATACTAGATAAAGGTGTTACTTCAGAGTCTGGAGGCTAGGGTTGGGCAGAAGATGGCATTTGATTTGGAAATTTCTTGACTTTTGTGGATGGAACATTAGAGTCAATGTTTATCCTATTGATTTTGGTCTGATACTTTGTGAACTCTTGTTGGGAGTGAGGATTTCCATAAGGCGCTTTAGCATCAACTCTTTGGGTTCAAAGGGATTCCTCAGACTCCTCCAGCCCTCAGGTGCTGATCAACAGAGTCACTAGTGGATGCTGAAGTTACATGAGCTACATATTAACTGTTTAAAGTCTCCAAAATAAAACATCCCAACATTGACCCCACCTGGCTGATGGTTAGTCCCTTGCTGCCTGCTCCATGTGTTTTAAGAGAGCCCGTAGTTACAGTACCCTTGACTTTGAAATTGTACGTGCAGCTTTGAGTGAAGGTCACCATTTTTAAAATTTAAATACTGAAGACCTCACAGATGAGAAAAAAATTACATCAATTTAATCTTGCTCTGAATAACTCAGATTGTTTCAGCCTTTGGTGTGACTTTAATTTAGAGTTATATTACAGAGGATTATTTTCTAAGATAATCTTAAACTCAGACGTTCAACCCCATAGATAATTGAAATATCAAGATATGTGGAACACCTCAAATATTCTCCTTGGGGAACCTGCACAGACTCTCAGGCCTTGTCTCTTCATTGGTTTTCATACTACCAGGAGCAAACAAACTTCACTTTTGTTTTGTCTTTAGACAGCATCTCAAATTGAAACTGTTTGCTATACAAAGCTTACAGTTAAGGACTTTATAAATTCAAATTGGCACCTACTGAATTAGAAAATATTTAAATATATTCATATAAAATATGAATTAGAAATATTTAAATATAATTGATTGTATGGGGAATAGCATTGCACTAAAATGGAAATCACTGCCAGAGCCGGCCCACTCTCTCCATTTGTACTACTACTTAAGCACTAACCCTCCATGCTTACAGCTTGGAATTACTTATTAGAATTGGAAGTACATATGCCCATGTTTAAATTTTATAGCTTTAATCTATATTATGTCTTCACTGATGGAAAGAGGTACATCTTTGTTTTCTTTACTGAAAACAAATACGGATTAATTGCCTCAAATTTGTATAAATGATTGGCTAGAGATTGAGAAGGGTGGGTGGTATAGATAGAAAAATGACAAAGATGGCAGTATATACTTAATGTTATGTTATTACTGAAAGACTTAGATTTTTAAAATTTCAAATTGTAAGTCACTTCCTGTAGTAGGAGGGTTTCCATTGATTAGCTGCAGTAGACACAGTTCACTACAAATGGGCTGTTGGGGTTTGTGTGCTGCATTTATTTCTATTTTTTAATACCTGGTTTTGTATGTACCTAACTGTTTTCTTTTTGTTGTCCAGAAACTGGATTATTTTCTCCTTAGCAGTGCTTACTTTGTGTTTAATTTTGATTGAAAAGTAGTCCCAGATCACAGGGGTCCTCACTGTTACATCCAAAACATTTGTTAGGTTGTCTGACAGCTCTCATGTACATATGGTATAGGAACCACAGAGTTAGGTATTTCCTGGCTTTTTTTTTATGAGAAAAATACTGTATTTAAAATGTAAAATAAACTTTTAAAAAGCAGGCACTAATAATATATATTTCTTCCAGCCTTTGATTACAGATTTGTCCTTGCACATGTTAAGATGAATTATCTTCTAAAAATATCATTGTTCTTGGGAGCAGTATATGTTACTTTACATAGCAGCAGTACCTGTCACGTGTTCATGTCAGAACATTTTTGGTTTTAAACTTTTTTATTGCCTTTGGCTGTTGATTAGTACAGTACAAGTGCGATTTCAAAAAGATCTTGAAAATAATATATTTAATCAATTAAAATGTTTATCTGTAACTTGTTGATGTTTCATTAATATAGTTACTCTCTGAAGCACTGGTACAGTACTTCATTATTTAGGTAGGGTAAGAAGAAACGTTTTAAATCATCTGCTGTGGGATTTTTTTGTTTGTCTGGTTTGGTTTTTACACAGCACATCAGATCTGTAGTGTTTTGAAAAGGAACCAGTTAGTGGGGGGATACTCTGTTTATCTGGTTTTTGCTGTGAGTTAAAATAGATTTAAAATTTTCCAGAATTCTTGATGCAGATGAAAGCACTGACTTTGTTTACTGCAGATGACTGGGTCATAAAATGGCCTGCGCCACCAAGGGCAGAGTGCACCTGTTGAAGTGCGGAGACAGCCCGTCTGTCTCTCCCAGGGCATGGCCACCTCTCAGCCAGGCTGGCAGGGAGGGCCAGGGAGCCAGGCACGAGAAGTGACCCACTGGTTGGCTTGCAGGGTTTTTATTTTTTTTTCCCTTGAAATTTGGAGAGACAAATGAGAGGTGGTCATTTTGGTATTCCTGCTGGGTGGCGTGCCATAAAGCCAGACTCAAGAACAGTTGAGGAGGGGTGGGCATTGTGGAGCAGTAGGTTAAGCCTCCTACCACGATGCCAGCATCCTGTTTGAGTGCCAGTTTGAGTCCCAGCTCCCTGCTAATGCACCTGGGAAGGCAGTGGAAGATGGCCCAAGTACTGGGAACCATGCAGCCTGCCTGGATCGAGTTTTAGGTTCCTGGCTTCAGCCTGGCCCAGCCCTAGCCTTTGTGGCCATTTGGGGAGTGAACTGGTGAATGGAAGATCTCCCACCCCCTGTAACTCTGCCTTTCAATAAAAAAGCCAATCTTTTAAAAAGACAAAAGGGAGAGCTGTTGATGTGAGCACATGTTGGAAACCTTGTTGCTTGGTGTTGACCCTGTGTCTTACAAAGAGAAGCAACCAGTTGTAATAAATGATTGTTAATAATTCGTTGGGGCTTAACTGGGACAGTCTAAAGCCAAAACCGTCTTTGCTTCTAGCCTCAGCTTTTTCCTCAGCTCACCACTTCAGTCAGCAACATAAAAGGGGGGTTTGTGTATCCACTTGTGATAGAACAAGTCATTTCCATTCACACTTCCAAATGTATTTGAATCACTATTGAATTCAGTTTGTCACAGGTACTTGCCTGTGATTCTTCAACTTTGTTACTGAAAAAATATTATGAGACTGAATGGTTTGTTGTCCTTCAGTACCTTACTTTGAATTTATTGAAATATTTCAAATGCTTATTATGTTCCTTGATTTGTAATGAAAGGCAGAAGCAGTACTTTGGTGTTATTAGTGAGCGTACTGCTTGCACACTGTAATTTAACTCAGGACCAGGAAACTAAGTGGGGTCACTGTACCAGAACTGACACTGGTATTTGTACTCAGGCACTCACTCTAACATGGAGTATCGACAGGAACAGTTAACTCATTTCTTGTAGCTGTATTGCAGGCTTGTCTGATTGCTCATTTCAGTCCTGTGATAAACTGAATATACTCACAAGTTTATTTCCGGAAAGAGTGAAGTACAAATTGGATTATAAATGCCTTTTTTTTAAACCTTTCCTTAATGGCATATTTATACAATAACAATTTTTTTAAAAAATATTTATTTGAAAGAGTTACAGAGAGAAGTAGAGAAGAAGGGTCTTCCATCTGCTGGTACGCTCCCCAGATGGCTGCAACGGCTGGAGCTGCGCTGATCTGAAGCCAGGAGCTTCTTCTGGGTCTCCCACGTGGGTACAGGGGCCCAAGGACTTGGGCCGTCTTCCACTGCTATCCAGGCCATACCAGAGAGCTGGATTGGAAGAGGAGCAGCCGGGACTAGAACCAGCACCCATATGGGATGCTGGCGCTTTAGGCCAGGTCGTTAACCCGCTGCGCCACAGTGCTGGCCCCTATACAAATAACAATTTTTATACTTTTCCAAGGTCATTAATTTAAATATGTCCAGTTGAAGGTGACATTCCTTTGAGGCATGACAGAATATCAAAATGTGAGGACGTTTTTCAGAAGGTAAACATTTTAATCAGTTTTCTAAAGTCCAGCCTATGTTTGAGAACTTTTCCTGTTGGCAGGAAAAGTTGTGCCGCTGCTCAATAGGCTAATCCTCCCCCTGCAGCACTGACACACCGAGTTCTAGTCCCTGTCAGGGCGCCGAATTCTGTCCCGGTTGTCCCTCTTCCAGGCCAGCTCTCTGCTGTGGCCCAGGAGTACAGTGGAGGATGGCCCAAGTGCTTGGGCCCTGCACTCCATAGGAGACCAGGATAAGTACCTGGCTCCTGCCATTGGATCAGCGTGGTGCACCGGCCACAGCGTGCCAGCCACAGCAGCCATTGGAGGGTGAACCAACAGCAAAGGAAGACAGAAGACCTTTCTCTCTCTCTCTCACTGTCCACTCTGCCTGTTTCGTGTTGATCTATTGTGTTCCTTTAATCTGCTATGTGTTCTTCCATTGAGTGTCTCTTTGGTTAATTTTCTATTGAACATTTAGGTTCCTTCCAACATTTTGGTTATTATATTCAATGTTCCTCTTAACACACCTTCCAGCAAACCTGCATGAATTTTTTCAAGAGTGGATACTAGAGGTGGACACTGAATCATCTCTTCTTCTTTAACAGGCACTGCCAAATTGTACCCAAGGGTACCTGAACTAATTTCCACCCCTACCAGCAGATACTATTTTGCTCTGTCTGATGAATGAAAAACTAAAATTTCACTGTAAGGTGTTTCCCTACTAACTAATAATAAGATTAAGCATCTTTTTAAAATTTTTATTCATACAGCAGATTTAACATATTTCATAGATAGAGAAGATAACCACACTTTCCTTCCTGAGTGCCCCTCCTTTTTTTCTCTTTTAATTTTTGCAATAACATACTTTCCATTTACTTCATACCCACAGGCTTAATGCACCAGTAACCATAGTGTTCAAGTAAAAAGTAGAAAGACCACTGTTCCCAGGAATATAAAGAAGGGCTGTAAATAATCAGTTTCATTCTTCTACATTGTTTTTCTTTACAAAAATTTATTTATGAAAGAGAGAGGGGGAGGGAAAGAGAGAGGTTCACTCCCTACACACACCAACCAGGGTTGGGCCAGACTGAAGCCTGGAGCTTTATCCACTTCTCCATGTGAGTGGCAGGGACCCAAGTACTCGGGCCGTCTTCTGCTGCTCTGCCCAGGCTATAGGCAAGGAGCTGGACTGGAAGTAGAACAGCCCGCACACAAACCAGAGCAGCATCCGTATGGGATGCTAGTGTTGCAGGTGCAAGCGTTATATACTATAAAACAAGGCTGGGCCCAAAACATTATTTGAAAGGCCAGGAGCAGGATAGACAAGGTCTCCCATATAGGTGGCAAGGACCCACGTAGTCATGTTAGCATGGCGTGGCTGGTACTCAAACCAGCACTTCCTCTGGGATGCAAGTGTCAGAGTGGTAGCCTAACCAACCATGCTATAACACCCTTCCCTGATCATCTATTTTTATTAGTCATTTGTTATTGTCCTAAAAATGGCCTGTTGATGTCCTTAACCCGCTTTTCAGTTGGGTAATTTTTATATGATTAGCTTTTTTAAAATGCAGTTTTGGGGCAGGCATTGTGGCACAAAGGGTTAAGCCAATACCTGTGACGCCAGCATCCCATATGGGCACTGGTCCAAGTTATTGCTGGTCTACTCCACACCCAGCTGCCTGCTGGTGCGCCTAGGAAAGCAGCAGCAGATGGCCCAAGTCCTTGGGTCCCTGCACCCATGTTACAGACATGGTTGAAGCGCTTAGCTCCTGGCTCTGGCCAGCCCAGCCACAGCTTTTGAGGCCATTTGGGGAGTACAGTGGATGGAAGATCTTTGTCTCTCTGGAACTCTTTCAAATAAATAAATCTGAAGAAAACCTGCAGTTCTATGCTAGTCATCCATCATATTCATATGTATGTATGTATGTATGTATGTTCTCCCAGAGTACTATACTACTACTCCGTTAATTACTTTAGTTTATGAGGTGGGTGTAGACTTGTGTGAATTTGGTCACACATTTTAAGTCATCAGTTTTATTATCTTCTTTTTTAATTTTGCTTATTTCCAAGTCTGGTTCTGTCCATTTATATGCTAATGTTGCACTTTGAATTACTGTACTATTGGGGCCAGAGTTGGGGCTCAGCAGCAGAGCTGGTCAGCCTGCATCATTGGCATCCCACATCCCACATCTGTGCCAGTTCAAGTCCCTGCTGCTACGGCAACAGACGATGACCCAAGTATTTTGGCTTCTATACCCACAGGGTAGACCATCTGGTTGGAGGTCCTGGCTCCTGACTTCATCCTAGCATAGCTCCAACTGTCATGGCCATTTAGGAAGTGAACCAGCAGATGGAAGATCTTTCTCTCACTTCCTCTGTCATTCTGCCTTTCAAATAAGTAGACCTTTTAAAAACTTAATATAGTTTTATATTTTCTTAATACAAAGTAAATCCTAATTTTTTTTTTTTTGCTAATTTTATACCTTCATTCTATAAGAATGTAATCATTAGCTTATCACATTTCATAAAAAATTCTGGGATTTACATTGGGATATCCCATTTAATTTATCAGTTCATGGTTTAGTGACTGATTTTTTTCTTCATTTATTTATTTGCAAGGCAAAGTGTTAGGGAGCTTCCATCTACTGGCTTACTCCCCAAAACCCTGCAACAGCCAGGACTGGGCCAGGCCAAACTCAAGAGGCCAGGAACTCCATCTGGGTCTCCCTTGAGGGTGGCAGGAGCTCAAGTACTTTGGCATCATCTGATGCCTTGTGGGTTCAGTAGCAGGAAGCTAGATCGGAAATGGATTAGCCAGGACTCCAGCTAGCCCTCTTGTGTCCCAAATGAGGGCTTTACCACAATGCCAGACTGAATTTTAATATGAGCTCCGACTGTCCTTTTATTTTTTACTTTTTTAAATTGATAGCTCTTCATTCTTAGATGATGTCTTCAATAGAAGAGGTGGAAAATAACA